TCGCAGCGCCGGGTAAGAGGGCTGTCCGGCAAAGACCCGTCGATGATGGGTGTAATGGTGCGTAATGCTCTAGTCCACGTGAGTTTCTAATATCTATGGGGTGTTGGCTTGTGGCTGTTGGCTTGTGGCTGTTGGCTTGTGGCTCTGGGGATAAAATATTAGAAACTTCGTGGGCTAGAGCTGCCTGTCTTCTTAAGAAGGCAGGCTTCTGCGCTTTGGTTTTTTTGCCCGCTGCGCACATGCGCGCTTTTACGCCTTTTTTATTTCTGTCTTCGTCTGCGCCACAACCTACGTTATCATGGGGAACACCCTACTATAATATTACCAAGGCACTGTTGTTTCTAGCGCGTTCTATCCAGCAAGCGCTAAGTTGATGGTTTGTCGTTGTTTGCCGTTTGTCAGTTGTTGTTTGCGTTTATCTTTATTTGCTGTCTGTTAATTGTTGTCAGCCAGGATCACTCCGATAACTCTCGTTTTTTCAGCCTCATTATTTAAGTTGTTACACTACAGCCTTACCCCTGCACTACTCATTTACCACTACCAAAGAGAAAACGTGTTCTTTTACATAGCAGCATATATACCTCCATAGGTAGCAGTAATTTAGGAGGACAAGCGGCGTCCAATTCCTCGCGCCCAGCTTCACAAGTCTCTACGCCGGAAGATTATAGATACGCCGCCCTTAGCTACTGTTAAACTAAAAGGCGGGCCCGCGCATTTGATGCGCAGGTTTGAGTGACCTATATATTCCAACAGCTACGTTTGGGGTAGATCAAACACTCTGCAAACCTTGAAGGAAAACTTCGGTCGGCTCTCGGAAGAAGGTGGCCTTGGGCCTAATGCGCTACCGGCTACTATCGAAGACGCATCGAATGTTATTGCTGCCATTGGCCTTTAATATCTCTGGGTCGACGCTCTTTGCATCATCCAAAATGACCTGGAGGACAAAGCACACCAGATCAAGAATATGGACAGCGTCTATGGCTTTGCGGAAGTCACCATTGTCGGAGCAACCGGGGACAGCACGCATGGCTTATCGCGAATACGCACGCACAGGGAGCTAAGGCAAATCCAAGGCGAGGTAAAGCCTGGAATCTGCCTGGCACTGCAGTTCCCAGGCTTTGATAAGAAGGAGAAGGCTTTGTCGCGTTGGACTACGCGTGCGTGGACGTTACAGGAAGCTCTACTTTCTCCACGCCTCGTAATCTTTCACAACGACTTCATGACGTGGGAATGCCGCGAGGCGGTATGGTGCGAAGACGTAGTTCCAGGAGCAAATGCCTGTTTTATACAACCTCATGTCGGCTCTCGCATGCTCCCACTTCTGCCAGAGCGCCTGGAGGCCGCAAAGGATGACACATACAGCGTCCTCATTTCCCCGATATGTTCTGTCGACGACTTGACCATGTACGAGAATGTAGTTCGAGAGTACTCAAATCGACAAATAACCGTCCAGGCTGAAAAGCTTAACGCTTTTACCGGAATATCCAGCGTGTTTGGTTCGCACATGGAAACAGACTTCTTCTACGGGCTCCCCAGATCGCACCTTGATATGTCGCTTCTGTGGTGGGCAGCTGAGCCTCTACAAAGACTGCCCGAGTTCCCGAGCTGGTCTTGGGCTGGCTGGGAGGGAGCGGTGTGGTAAGCTAGTTTGGAGCCGGTTCTTCTAGCTCCTTCGCCCGCATGGTATATTGCTGAGCCTGATGGCAGTGCACAGATCCAGCAGACAACTCGCCTGAAGCGCCTTGTGCAGGCATGGGAGGATCCGGGATACGTCGCCCCGAAGCGCCCTTGGAGGATTGCTCCCGGGAAGGCGCTTGAAAACACGCCCAACGTCCACCATGCACTCACCAAAGTCATTGACTTTGGACCCACTGGCCGCACACTCGGCCGTTGCCTCTGTTTCCAGGCTTTTTGCACGTCTGGTATATCTTTCACTTTCCACGACCAGGTTGTTATCGATCAAGACGGTAAAATCGTTGGCGGCATCGTTTTCGACAACCCTACCTTTTTAGAGATTGAAAGGAACAAGCTGGAGTTTGTGATGCTGTCCCATTGCTCCAATCCGTTTATTTTTCGAAGGGGGCAAGGGCTATACTTCCCAGCTGGATACACAAATCGGCGAGACATTTCTATAATGGTCACCTCAGTCGCATCACCAATGATGGCATTGCCTATAGACTACTTTCGCTTTTTGTTAGGTGAAAGACACGGGCAGGCAGCCAGCCGGCGTGGAATAGGGGAGATGGAAACAAGTAGGGTTCGACATCGTCCAGCCGGCGCCGGACGGTAGGCGGTCTTGGCAGCCAGCTACATCCCACCGTCCTTTACCGTCCCGTTAACTAAATAGGCTAAAGTCTATCGTCTAACGGCAGCCGGGCTAAATAGGGCGGTTTAGTAAGAATTAGCTTTAAAAAAGGCATGGTGTTGAGGAAAGGGGTTCGCTTACAGGCGGGCACGAACTAGGGCACGTACTAAGACCGCCGCACCAGGCTAAATAAGGTAACTATCACCCTATAAATCACCTCTTTATATAGCTATAGCTTGCTACCGTCTTAAAGGAGCTAGCACCGTTATAATGGAGCTTTTTACTTTTTTATTTACTAATCGGACGGAGCCGGGCGGGACGGTGGGAACGGCCTAGCCCGGCTGACGGACCACCAATAGGCTAGACCGTCTCGAACCCTGGAAACAAGTGCGCTACGGAAGGTAGAATATCAGATGAAATGGGTCTTCTTAGAGTGATATAGTTCCGCTATTACGAGTTCGCAACACCAATTGCTAGTGCTAGGAGTCCTTTGTTTAAATTATTTCGACCGCGATATCATCGATGTGAAAGCCGTTAGTTACATCGCCATTCTCCTCGCCAGCACGAATTTCGCCGCTGACGCGGCCAAGATTAAAGGCGTAAGCAACTTAGCCCTCCGGGTTGCAGGACTTTTGGTTGCAAGAAGAACTAAATACTCTTTGTACATGCAGAGCTGGTTCACTTTGTTGCAACTCTACAAAGTCAACGGTGACAGGCGTACCTATAACTACGGTGCAGCGCCAAATGTAGAAGAAGTAGTCTAGAAACAGATACGGACTTAACACCACTACTAACTTCACGCCGCAGCCTTCTGCTGCCGCCTCGAGGCTACAAAGTCTTCCACGCCCTTCTTCAATGTTGCCTCATCATGCTCTCCAAAGATATTGACACCCAGCCTGATCGGGAAATTGTACCGGTGGTTCCGGTCCAGCGCGGTAATCTTATCGAAGGCATCTTGCGGAAGCTCAAAGTCCTGGAAATTCGACACAATTCGTTCCGGCGTAACGCTCTTGGGCAACACGACCGTCCCCCTCTGCACTGCCCACTGAATCAGCACCTGCGCAGGTGACTTGCCCAGTTCCTTCGCGATCTCAATGACTTTGGGATCGTCCACCGCGCGGGGCAGGTTGTAGATGTTGTTTCCGAGCGGGCTGTACGCCGCGACGACGATGCCCTGCTGCTTATGCCACTCTAGCAGTGCAGGTTGCTGAAGGTACGGGTGTGCCTCAATTTGGTTCACGGCGGGCTTGATCTCGGCTGTTTGCAGGACCTCTTCGACCTTCTCGCGTGTGAAGTTGCTGACGCCGATGCTGCGGATCTTGCCTTTCTTGACCTGCGCTTCCAGAGCTTTCCATGTGTCGCGCAGCGGCACGTCGATGACATGCATAGCATCGGTGGAGGGATTGATGGGAAAATGGTCGCGTGGAGAAGCGGCTTTTTGGAAGGAGACGGGCCAGTGAATCTTTGATATTGTCAGCTTTGGGACTCCTCATGTCAAAGCCCGAAGCGCTTACAAGGTACAGGTCAAGGTAGTCGGTCCCCAGGTCCTGCAAAGAGAGCTCGACTGCCTCTTCTACGTCTTCCGGCTTGTGGTGCGTGTTCCATAGCTTGCCCGTGAGGAAGATTTCCTTGCGTTCCACGCCAGAAGCAGCGATTCCCTGGCCGACTTCGGCTTCATTGTCGTAGATGAAGGCTGCGTCAATGTGCCGATAACCAGCTTTCAGCGCCGCCTTGACTGCTTTCGCAACTTCGTTCGGCTTGGACTGCCATGTCCCGAGCCCAACGGCGGGGATAGAGTGGCCAGAGTTGAGCTTGAAGGTGCGGTTCGACGACATGGCGTTTATTTGTTTGTTTGTTGATGATGAGGTCAATGGATAGCTGCATGCATGCTCTGCGGCCACCTACATATTAATTTATTAATTCTTGCGCACGCGTCATTGCGTACGCGGTCACGCTGGTCGCGTTTCCAGGATCCGCAATTGTGTGATTGATGGAATGGAATGGCGGGTGGGGGGCGGGCGTCAGGGAAATGCGGGGCTGAGGCCCGTGGGCCGTACCCGAGGTTCTCACCAAGATTGGCGAAGGCACCGCAGATCTGGCTGTGCTGGAGACAAAATACCCGACACCGATACTGAAAGGGAAGCGTAGTCCTCGGTATATATGGAGCCGAGTCGCGTTATGTGTGGTTGGATGTTCAGAGTCATGCTGCTACCCCAAGAAGGTAGGAGTTTCCGGGTTGCAATAGGAAAACGTACAATTTTGACACTGATATTGCTGCCAACAGTCCAAAACACCTAAAATAACTAATACAAAAAACACAAATACTCCGGCTAGCGTTGAACTTCCTGATTTGAAACGGCCGATGTTTCCCTACTCTCGTAGTTGCTCAAAAATGTCCAATTTCAAAAGTGTACCCGGAAACCAAGAACATATATCACCCTCTTGTTTTCGCTCTGATAGTAAGGTGAAACCTCAAGCGATGTAACGGAAGCCCTTCTTCCTCTCTTTCTGCTCCTCCTGTGTAAGCCCTCCGATCTCAGCTTGCGCTTCGCCTTTCATAACATCCGCGACATCTTTGGAGCCATTATCAAGCTCCTTGTTTGCCCTCAGTAGAATGATTCGAATGACAAGAGCCATAGTAATCGCAACTACAGCGAAAGCAGAGTTCGCTGCCATGGCTGGAACATACCTAGGCGCCGTTTCGTCCTGATATAAATAAGAGGAGAAGACCTAGAACCTTCTTAATTTTATTTCCTTGCATACGACTGAGTGCAGGACATACCTGAGCCACATTACCAACAGCATTCACGAACGCCACTGCCGCGGCTCGCTTGATACGAGGACGAAGCATGGTCTTTTGAATCCAAGCGACGATTACAGCATTAGAGCCTGATTTATCGATGTTAGCAGATGATCTGGGAAACAAAGATGTAGTTGAAATTACCATGACCGCCCGATACCATGAGAATCATAGCAAAATACCTCGCACCAGTATTTAGTGTAGAGGATGCCACAATGAAACCGATCAATGCCAATAACATCGGCCCAATGACGTGAAATGATGAGTTGCCGAGGCGATCCGATGAGTGGTTGTTAGCAATGATGAGGAAGACGGAAATGATATAAGGAGGTACAGTCAGCAGCAGAGTGTTGGTCTTGCTGAACCCCAATGTGTCCACAACGCTGGGGAAGAAGTTCGACGTTGCGCTGGCAACCTGCACGCAGAGAAGGAGGAAGGCGAATATGTACATACGCCAGTCAACAAAAGCCATCTTGAAGCCATAGCTCCACTTTTCGTCGTCTTCGTCTACCTGGCCGGCGTCACAGATTAGCCGCCATTCGGCCACCGAGCGTTCTTTGGGGGACAGCCATTTGGTGTTGGATGGCCAGTCGGGCAGAAGAAAGACGGCGCATATGGCGATGAAGACGGTGATAGAGCCCTCGATGATGAACAGCCATCGCCATGCTTCTATGCCCCGTGCGCCGTCTAGTCCCTGTTTTATGCCGGCGCCAATAAGGCCAGAGAAGGCACTCCCGAGCTGAGATCCTGCGAACAGGATAGAACACCTAGTACCGAGTTCCGATCGTTTATAGAACGAGGATAGAAGGAACAGTGCGCCAGCTAAGAACTTGTAAGTTAGTGTGTAAACAGGGGAGCTTAGTGAATACTAACGATAATAACACGCCTCAACTATACCGAGGAAGAAGCGAATGGAGTATAGTCCACCCATTCCTTTAACGGCACCAGTGCAGGCGGAAAGAGTTCCCCAGATAGCCATAACCGTGGGCAGATATATCGATGGCCTGAGCTGTGAAAGGAAGACGTTGGACGGAATTTGCATGAGAATGTAGCCGACAAAAAGGATTGAAACAGCGGTCGAGTATTCCGTTGATGAGAGGTTGAGAGTTTCTTTTATGCCAGCGACCTTGGCGGCGGCGATGTTGTTCTGATCCAAGGGTGTCAGTAAATCGTCAATGTTCAACTCGTAGGTAAGGTATCACCTACTCTATCAAGATAATTCATAATGAAGATGAGGAAGAGGGTCCCAAGAAGCCTAATATCCAGCTTCCTCTTTAGTGACTCTTCCACGACCGCAAAGTCCTCGAGAGAAAGAGTTTGCGCCAAGGCAAGGCGGTTTTTGCTTGGGTCGGATATGCTTGAGCCGTCGTCACGGCTACCAACAACTGGCGATTTTATGCTCACCATCCTGTAAAAGGTGGGACAAAAAGTCAAGATGAAAAGAAGGTTGAGCAGAGAGAAATGTGTCCAGACACTCCTTTGTTCTGTCAATAGGTTGGAAGAAGAGTCAAAGCGAACATTTCTATAAACACTTTTATATCGCAGTGCCTCAATGGGATGGGGAAGCTAGCATAGGAATTGCGGGGCAACGACGATCCCATATTCGGAGCATTAAGCGTCTGATCAGCGGAGGAGTAAAACGGGGAAGCTTAGCGGTTTAGCTTGATAGACGACATGCCGCGTGTCCTCGGCGAAGCCCGAGCGATGCCATGGTGCGCTCGGGATGAGTCCGCTACGGCGCTAATAGATATTTGGCATGCATCTGCAAGAATAACTGTGAGTCTTGCTTTACTTTTCTCCATATTCCCCTCTGCGGTCCGATCTGCCGTCGACGCACCTACATTGATCTTAAATCCCTGGCCAAACTGTCAAACAGCTCACTGGGTGCCATAATGACCCTGATCCATATCGGTAAGACTTTTTGGTTGGAATCAATGTAATGGATCTCTAACACGGCTTCGGACCATAGTCCTCTTCAAATTCAAACCGGAAGTGACAGAGGAGCATAAGGCCACGTTTGTGCGCGAGCTTAAGAAACTCAAGCATTTGCCGTGTGTCAAAGATAATCGGCTAATTGTTGGTGGACCTTCTGTCACGGATCCCATCGAGCGAAGCAAGGGTTTCGAGTTCTCCCTTGTCAGCTATCACAATGATCGTGCCGCTTTGGAAGAATATCAGGCGAGCAAAGAACATCACTGGTAAGGGTTTAGTCTATAACCGCCTAACAAAGCTACGATCGACAGATGTTTAACCTGCATTACTAGGGTGACGTCTACATACATGTTTCCCTACAAGGAGGACTTGTGCCGATTTGATTTTGAAGTGGATCCAGAGGATGAGTATATGTGCGATGCCCTGTCAGCCAGTGTATTTCTGAATAGCGAGGATAACAGTTAAGCGTACTAGGCCATAGAGTATAGCCTCGGAGCACAGTAAAAAGATAGCCACACAATAGTCTACGGCGTCTACTTTCTTGCGATTTGGTCTTGACACCTATCTTGTAAATAGAGTGGAGATCTATACTTTTACTTTAATAATATAAGTGGAAAAAGAGTATCAAGAACGGCTGCATACAGACTTAGCTTTACTGTCCGGATCTAAGATCTGTTGCGAATCTCGCGTAATATAGGCGCTGAATCTAAGATCTGTTATAAAAGCTCAGGGTAATTAATACCGTAGCCCTCCGCGGCAAGTCCTATAAGACTAGCCTGGTTCTCCCTTCCTGGTCTCCCAGGACCGCTCATGTCCTGCAGCGATGGTCAGTTAATGTTCTACCAAAACCTTCGTTTTTGAGTGAATAGAACTAACCGGATTCATATTGACATCAAAAATCGCGAAAGGCGAACCACCCTGATTCCTATACCGCCTAACATCAAAACTAATCGGCGCCGTCGTTTGTAACAGCTTCGCAACCTGCTCGCACTCTTTGATAATCCGCCTATACATCCGATCCGCGACCTCCTCTATAATCCCCACTGCTCTGGAATCTGTCGTCAGGGCCACGGTGCCGCTGGGTGGCAACACGCACTTAGCGTGGCCAAACCGCGTAACCACGGGCAAGGCCAGGTACGGCACGTGCCCCATCGGCGGCATAACGGCCACTGTGACTTCTTGGCCTGAGAGGTATTCTTCTACCATGACCATGGGGGACTCGGCGAAAAGATCTCGAATGTGTTGTTCCAGAATTTGAGGGGTAAGGCAATGCTTGATGCCATGACTTCCACGTCCGCGGATAGGTTTCGCAATGGAGGGAGCGCTCGTGAAACCGCCGCGCCAAATAGTGGTTCTCAAGCCGTCAATGTTATTAGGAGTGAGGACACAGGACTTTGGAACTGTGGAACCGCGCTGCCTCAGCATCCCGTTCAGGTAGTGCTTGTCCTCAAAAGTCTCGACCACCAGCGGAGGCTGTCCAATAACGCGAATGTCGCCATGGGTGTCTAGGGCAGAAGAAATTTGCAACGAGTGGTCCTTAAAAAGTACAATGTTGGCCCACAAATGATTGGCACCAGCGTGCACAGCTGCTATTATACCCTGCTCGTCATCGGGAAAGCACTAGTCGGCATCTTTGGTCGGATCGGGGTTCGGCTCGGGGGTGACAATGTCGACGCGACTTTGCTCTCTTAAGACGTACGCGATGTCTGTGCCGGAGTCCCTGTAACCTACAATCGTTATATCAAATTTTATAAACGTCTGACCAACTTACCGCCCTGCTCTTTAGGCGTCCTCACTCCATTGATGATTGGGGGGTCTAAAGCTTGGTAGAGGAGAGCGACTCGGGGCTTGCCAGAGGAATATGCACGGCGTGTGAACGGAGTACGCAACGCTATTGAAGACTTAGCTAAGAGCGGCCGGAAATGGAAATTGATGATATGGCGACGGCAGCTCCGGACAGTGTGCCCAGAAAGAAGTTTCCCAAAACACATCCATCTGCCTAAGGGATGTCTTCCGCAAAGATATATTATACGACGTGGTACACCGTCTAAATATTTTTCCGCTTGCCGCACTAATAAGAAGTCACCTTCGAAACCAAGGACTCTATAGACAGCGCGTACGCTGACCTAATGTCAGTAAATAGTTTGCCTCGTTATGAGAATTAAAAGTACCGGCCCGAGAAACTCACTACTGGAGTTGTTTTTAAGAGCTCTAAGCGCGCGCACGAACTTATACCACTACTTAGTGACAAGCGCCAGCTACCTAACACCATCTTCTTTAGAGTTGTAGGCGACCAGCTACTGCTTATCTTAATCTCCTAATTTTCCCTTGGTTCAGCTATAGCAACCTTCGTTCGGAAGCTCTCCTTCATTTGGAATACGTTTTGCCAACTACCGATCACCAACACCACAAAGCGACCCGGACAACCTATCCACACCACCTACCCATTCCCTTTCACGCCCAAACACCACCTACCGCCCTCTAAACTCCTTGAAAACATCCTGCACCGTCCTCCCCGCCTTAATCCCCTCCACACACTTCTCATCCGCTTCCACAATTCCCGGAATCAGATCCAACACCTTCTCGACCACATCCGCCGGCACGACCACCACGCCATTCAGGTCCGCAACCACGTAATCGCCTTGCCGCACCCACGCCTCCTGGTCTCCAGAGTTCAGGCGCACTGGCTCTCCGATCAAGGAAGGTCGGCACACGGCCCCGCCCGCTGTTGTGCCGACTGAGCGCGCGAAGACCTGCGGGTTGCGGTCAGCTGTGATGCAAACGAAGCTCGCGAGCAAAACGCGATATGGAGTTAGCTGTTTGGAATGTGCGAAAGAAAGACGAACCGGAAATCCCAGATCGCGATGCTCTTGCAGGTCTCGCACGCGCCCGTCCACTACCACTCCCGCTGCGCCGCTGTGCTGCGCCCGCAGCGACATCAGGCCCCCGTACACGGCGTTGACGTGCGGGAGTGGCTGTGAGAGGAAGACCACTGCGCCTTTTGGGGTCTGGTCGATCTGCGGTACAGTAATAACGGTCTCATCAGCTTCTCGTTTATTGCAGAAGTGAAGTCGTAGGGTCATGCTTACATAGTTCCCCTGCACGGACGGCGCCTCCGTATCGCCCTTAGGCACAAACTTGACCGTAAAAGCCGGGCCGACAATCTTAGTGCTCCCGGCCTGGAATTCCGGCGAGTGCATTACGAGACCATCGAGGAAGCCGCCGTGGACGTGCTTGAGGCGGCTGAGGCCATCGGCAACCTAGCGATTACAGGAGTCCCGGTTAGCTTACATGAAGACATGAATGTTCTTTAGCTAAGGGGACGAGGCGAACATCACAAGACGACCAGCGCATCAGGCGCTTGACAATAGATGCGGACATATTTGTTTCTTGTCTTGATTTGGACAGAGACAAAAGCTGTGAACGGCTCACATACACGCCTGCTCCGTATATATGCTGGCATAGGAGGAAGCACCAGTACCCTGCAGTGTATATAAGTGGCTTGCGCATAAGTGGAATAGCCAGAAAGCGGGGCCAACGCTCGGGGAGGCCCGAAGCGAGCGGGATGCGCAGACGGAGCGATCCGAAACCCTCGGCGTGGCCCCGAGTGGCGGCATTGAAACGCCGCGCGTTTGACGAACCTAAAAGATGATGGAACTGGGTTCGGCATATAGAGGCAGTGTTATCGGCATATTGAGACAGTGGCTATCTTAAGCTTTTGTCGCAGAAAATTCGTCATTTTGGTTTTATCAGATGTTCCCGACCAAGCCTGTGCCCCTGGGGCGTGGGACACACACGTGCATGTCTTCGAGCCAGACAGATTCCAGTTGGCCGAGGGGCGGCACTTCACAGAGATAGGGGAAAGGAAACTGGAGTATTCAGATCCAACAACCACATCTGGAGTTCTGGACGCAACTGCGAAGGCAAGCCGCGGAGATGCACTCGCTTTTGGTTGTCGACCACCTTGCTTGGTGTCCAGCTCTACTCTCGGCAATAGTAGGCCGTATCGAGCGGTAGTATGCACATTGAAGTCGGAGATGTTCCGAGGGTTTCGCGGAAGCAGTGCGAGCCGAACGGTGGTTAAAAGGTAGAGCGAGCGGATGAGAGAACATGCTCGACAGCATTACATCGTCACGATGTCCACTGCAGAATTCCCCGCCAACAACAAGACGTGGCAGATTCTGCACAAAGCACGCAAAGAGGGTTACGGCGTGGGAGCTTTCAACTGGTACGTAGGCGGAAGGACAACATTCCGCGACGCGCAACTTTCTGATTCTAGCAGTTACAACAACGACGGCGTCATGGCCATCATCCGCGCAGCGGAAGCAAAGAAATCTCCCGCAATCATACAGCTCTTCCCTTGGACGATGCACTTTCAAGGGCCTGCGTTTATCCGATACGTCGCAGAGGCGGCACGCATGGCGTCCGTACCAATAGCGCTGCATATAGACCATTGCATCAAAGTCGAAGACGTGCAAACAGCCCTCTCGCTACCGATAGATTCTATAATGGTCGACGCATCGAGCGCGGGTGGCGAACTCAACTGCCAATACTGCGCTGAAGTCGTTCGGCAAGCGCGTCCGCTCGGCATTACTGTCGAGGCAGAAGTGGGGCGCATAGATGGCAGTGAAGACGGCCTTCCCAGGGCAGACGTGGAAGCGGCATTGACCGATCCCGAAGAGGCGCGCGCTTTCGTGGCAAAGTCGGGCGTGCATTTCCTGGCACCCTCGTTTGGCAACATCCACGGGCCGTATCCGGCTGAAGGCGCGGAGGGCTCCTGGCAATTGGATAGGTAAGGGTAACCTCGAGACGTGGATTGCTGTTGCTGAACTAGACGCATCAGATTGGAATCGATAAGCCAGAAAGTTGGACCTGATGTTCCTCTCGTGCTCCACGGCACGCATCCAGTGTCTGATGATCTGTTCAAGGTGGCCATACGACGCGGAGTCGCAAAAATCAACTTGAATCGAACAGTCAGGGATCCATACACTGGGTTTGTAGCGGCAAATGCTGGCAGCCTGGAATTAACTGCACTTAAAGAGCGCAGCGTTGAAGTGTATGCGAAGTCCATCGAGCGAATGCTTGACGTCATTGGGTCGTCTGGTCAATCATGAGAATATCATCGGTGTGGAGCAGCATTAAAGTTTACAGAAATCGAGTCGATGCTGGCGGTTGCTCTCAAAAATGCCGTGACTGTGAGATGACATGTGCAATTGATAAAAAAAACATTGTTTACTCAACTACACCTACGGAAGCTCAAGCGTTCAGAGGAGTTTCTGACATGTGGGGCAGAGGAACGCCGAACTCGTCGGCCATGGACTTGAACATTTTGATTTCGGCATCGGCAAACGGAATGCCCTCGCTCGATCGTTTTTGCAACAGCTTGTGCTCCGGCTCGCCTGGGAACATGACCTGGTCGAAGCCGGGCGCGGGAGGGACAGCATGGACCCTTTGGACCAAAACGTCCATGCGCGAGCGGAACTCTTGGGAAGTCATGAAGACATCGGGCTTGATGGCAATAAAGCTGTGACCCACGTTTTGCGGCTTCGCCTCCTTGTACTGGTCGCCTACCTCACCACCATACGCGGCACCGGAGAGGACGCCGGACATGATGTCCATGAGGATGGCAAGACCGGAGCCCTTGGGCCCACCGATGGGAGCCATGATGCCGTTGAGGGCGGCCTCAGCATCAGTCGTAGGGATTCCATCCTTGTCCATGGCCCAGCCCAAAGGAATGTTTTCGCCGCGACGAGCAGCACGTCTGATCTTGCCCTTGGCGACGACCGAAGGCGCCATGTCTAGGATGTACGGGACCTCGCGGTCCGCAGGTGCGCCTGCAGCGAAGGGAGAGATGCCCAGCAGGGTTTCCTTGCCGCCGAACGGGGCCATCTGACGGGCCGAATTGGTGAAGACGAGGGAGATGAAGCCCTGGTCGAGAGCCTGCAGGACGTAGGTGGCAGCCATGCCAAAGTGGTTGGAGTGGCAGACTGTCACGAAACCGATGCCGTAGGTGCGAGCGCGGTCGACGGCCTCGCGCATGGCACGAGTGGCAACGATGAAGCCGAAGCCATTGTCGCCATCAAGGTGAGCTGCGACGGGGGTGGGCTCGTCGAGGCGCAGGGCGGGAGTGGGATTGACGAGGCCTTTGGTGAGGCGTTGGATGTACTGCTGCAGACGGGCGAGGCCGTGCGTGTCGACTCCGCGCGTGTCGGCTTGGGCCAGGCATTCGGCCATGAGCGACGCGTCTTCGCGGGGCAGCCCCGCTTTGCAAAGCAACGTCGACGCAAACGCCACAGCCGATGAAGGAGCAATGTACATGGTGATTCTTTGTTGCCGCCATCATGCGCGTCGCCCCCCAGTCTAATATACCTACCTATGGTCTCGGTCCTGCTCCGACAATGCTTCACCATGGCCCCCCCAGACAGCGCCAGGAAGCCCCCCGCCTGCGTGCGCTGTCGCCAACGCAAGGTCAAGTGCGACGCGCTTCTGCCCACCTGTTCCAACTGTCTCAGAGCTCGCGTTCCGTGCGAGCAGACTTCGGCTGGCTCCGAGCGCCAGTACATTCTCCAGCTGGAGGCACGCGTGCGCGAGCTGGAAGCTGCATCCTCTCCGTCGCGCGTCGGCCCGTCACCGTCGTCGCCTCGCATCGGCCCCAATCAGCCTCTCGCACATGAGGTCGGTCTCTTGTCGTTACAAGCTTCTCAGACGCCCAAGTATCTCGGCCCATCGTCCGGTGTCGCTTTTGCCCGTCTGGCCTCGGTGTCGGCGCCGCAAGCCCAGGGCCTCGCTACCGTCTTCCTCGATGACCTGCCGCAGCCTCCCGACGTTGCTTGTGCCTCAGCTCTTCCCCCGCTTCCAGACATTCATCGCTTCATCGGCGCCTACTTCGAGGCCTTCCAGCACCTCTACCCCTTCCTGGATGAGGATCATGTTGACATCATCGTCGAAAAGTGCACTTCTGCCTCGGCATCTGCATCTGCATCTGCTGCTAACCAGGCGACCGTCTTCCTCCTTGTTGCCATAGGATCGGCCATCTTGGAAGCTCAGCTCGGTGCCGATTTCGCTTCGACCACTTACCTTGCCGCTGCTATGAAGCACGTGGCCGAGACACAGCTGCATGAAAGCCTCCAAGGCGTTCAAATCAAGCTTCTTCTTGTCTTAAGCAGCTTCTGCTTCCCTAATGGTCCCAATGCTTGGTTTCTCACCCACACCATCCTGGCAAGCTGCTTGGACTTAGGCTTGCAGAGACGGCAGGCTCCGGGTCCACCCAATGCATTGGCCGGACATGTGAGGGTTGACGGCGCCGTTGCCCCGCATGACGTCAGGAGTGGCATATTTTGGTCGGCATACTCTCTTGATCGCACGCTTTGCACGACGTTAGGCCGTCCTCTTACCCTGCGTGACGAGGCTATAGACGTTGAGTTTCCAGGCCAGCAAGGTTCCGAGGAGATTGACCTCGATTCTATCGACGCCTCGGCCACACTACAGGATGCCAGTGTACAAGACCCTCTCCACAAGAGACCCTCCAAAAGACGGCGGACGGAGAGTATCGATCCTCTCTACGCGGCAAACATGTCCTTTCGTTTCGACCGCCTCGTGGCTGAGATAAAGCTAATGATACATCGTGTCGCCCAATCTCCCAAGCGTTTCCCCTGGCCAACTAACCTCGAGCAGTGGCAAAAGGAAGCACACGGTTCCTGCAAAGGCCTTCTAGAGCACGCGCGCCGCGTGCTTTCACCAGCCACTGGCGGCGTGACTCGTTCCCTTTCGTACCGGGTCCTGCGCTCGCTTGAGCTGAAGCATCATCAGTGCGTGATGCTGCTATTCCGCCCGAGTCCTGCGTTCCCGCGCCCCTCGCCCGAAGCCTTCAATATCTGCGTGGACAGCGCCACCGAGACCATCGCCATATACTTCGAGCTGCACCGCTTCGGCCAGATGATGAATTCATGGCTCACGGCCCACAGCGTCTTCGTCTCCGGCATAACGATGCTTTATTGTCTGTGGGTAAGCCCGTCGATACGCGACAGGACTAGGACGGCCTTCACGGAACACACACGGAGGTGCTCGCAGGTGCTGGAAGCGCTGGGCAAGACTTGGTCGGTCGCAAACGACGCACGGTCAAAGTTTGATCGTCTTGCGGAAGCCACTGAGCAATCCTGGCGGCGCATGGAGAGGTCTTGGCATGCACAACAGGGCGAGACGCAGCCTGGTCAGTCGCAACATGGGCTGCAGTCGAACACTGCAATCGAGGGGGGTTGGAATGGGAATAGCTGGACAGATGAAGGCCTGGATGCTCTGTTCGACCCGGCTGAAATACTGGCTGATCAGCTGGGCGATGTAAGCGGTTGGTTTGATCTCGATTGGTTCGAGTGTGGTGGTATTTAGGTATCTGGACCTCTGCGGTGAGGGGCCGAAGTTGCTAACCTAACAGATAATTAATCAGCTCCTGTGTACAACGTTGCTCTTACCAAACCCTAAGTGCGTACGTTGGCTGCTTACGCCGTAAGCTGACGGATGTCGTACTGGGCAGTAAAACAGTGATTTTTCACTACCTCTGCAAATCTAAATCATTTCGAAACGACGACGCAACAATATGATAGAACTCCAGCATTGTCTTGACGGAAGACCAACGCCCTGGAAAGTTGCTAAAAGACAGTATCGTAAGGCTGTCCTCGAGGTATCTGCTGGCCTCACTAGCAAAAGTAACGCTCGGATAGCGCTGACAGCCTGACAGCGACTCGACGTTACGTGTCACGGCACGACGACGACGGCAGGACATGTTCGGTTTATACAGAAAAGCAGTATCTCGGCTCGTTTGAGTAATCATCAAAACTTCCGATGAGTGTCGGCCCGAGGCACAGACTCGGCGGTCGGAGCCCTGACGTAACAAGCAAGCCCTGATGTGCCACGCCCACGTGGACAGCCGGGTAGCCGGTAACCGGATCCCTGCGACCCTGCGTGACAAGGGCGAATTTAGGCCTCGCATATCGGAGATATATCGTGACATTTCGCACGGCAGCTAGGGACGGAGAGCCTCTGCGTGGCGAGCCGGTGGCGCAACGGGGGTAGTGCAGGTGTCTAGGCCTGCAATGATGTGTTCAGTGCGCTTGTCTCCTTACAGGCCAGCCCTACAAAAAGGCTGAGTGTTCCCTTGTGCTGCTGTCTGGTTTTCTGTTCCAGAATTTACCTTACAGAAGATATACTCACACCATGGAGAACTACAACGTCCAAGAAGAATCCAAGCGCATCTTTCAGGAGCGTGTCCTGGGTGATGCGGAAAGACTTGGCCTCCCCGACTCTTTCTTGGAGGCCGGAAAGAAGATCAGATTTACTGGAGCCGACTCCAAGCCTTTCATCCCTACGCCTTGCAAGATTACCGAGTCTGCTTCCGCATTGACTGCTTTGGTGTCTGCGGCCGCGAGCGCTGTCGCGTCTGACCGGTACGGAATCGAGTACCAGGATGTGGAGGTCAACACGTAAGTGAAGAAACGGATATCTGTCACTGGATGTCTCTAATAGTACTTTACAGGGACATTGCGAGCATGTTCCTCCTGTCCATCCTGTTGCCCACCGTGAAGGGACAGCCGTTCATCCAGAACGAGCAGCTGAAGAAAGAGATGGCAAAGGGAGACTTGTACGTGATGGGCAAGCCGATTCACCAGGAAGCCACGAACGTATACCAGACGAAGGATGGCCGCTGGTACCACCTGCACGGCTCCATGAACGCCGCGCGTACGATGGAAATGGTCGGCGTTACGGAGCAGGACGTGACGAGGGAAGAGGCGATCAAGATCTACGCCGAGAAAGTTGCGCAGTGGGATTCGGCCGAGGCCGAGAAGGTAGCCAACGACAAGTACATGCAGTCGGGCACCGTTTGTAACACGCCCGAGGAGTTCTTCGCTACCGAGCAGGTAAGCACTATTATCAAGCTTTGGAGAAAAGCATCTAATGAGACCACGACAGGGCAAAATCATTGGCGCCGAGCCGCTGTACAACCTGAACCCACGGAAGGCTCCGCGCTCCTCATGGCCCCAAGTCGCCAACAACACGGCCTACAAGCCCCTCGCGGGCATCCGCGTAATCGACTTCAGCCGCGTCATCGCCGCCCCCGTCATCTCGAAGATGCTGGCCCTGCTCGGCGCCGAAGTCCTCAAGATCACCTCGGACAAGCTCCCGGACATTACCTGGACCTGGGTGGACCTGAACACGGGCAAGCGCGACCACAGCCTCGACCTCAAGACCGAGGCGGGCAAGAAGACGTTCGCGGAGCTGGTCAAGGGCGCCGACGTCCTTATTGATGGGTTCCGGCCGGGTGCGCTGCAGAGGCAAGGCTTCGACGCGGAGTCGCTGAGGAAGATCAACCCGTCGCTTATCTATGCCCGCGAGAACTGCTACGGCTTTAAGGGCCCGTTGGCTTACCGCTCGGGCTGGCAGCAGATCAGCGATTGTCTTGTTGGCATTTCCTGGCTGCAGGGCAAGTTCTTGGGGCTCAACGAGCCTGTCGTCCCCTTGTTGCGTAAGTCTCATCTCGCGATTTGATATTTGCCAGTGACTAACGACGCAATTAGCAAACTCCGACTACCAGACCGGTCTCGTCGGCGCGGCCGCCATCGTGCAGGCGCTGCTCGCACGCACAAAGTCCGACGTCACCTTCGACGTCGATGTCAGCCTGACGCAGTACAACATCTGGTACTACAGGCTGGGCCAGTACACGGAGGAGCAGGGCAAGGCGATCCTGGCGCGCAACGAGGGCTTCATGGTGCGCCACTACGACGAGATGCAGACGCTGCTGTTCAAGATGCTGGAGCAGTACAAGAAGGTGCGGCCGGACTTATTCGAGAACAAGGAGAACTTCACCAATATGAGCGGCAAAGAGTGGGGTCTGGATGAGGATATCACGATCCTGGCTCCGTCGTTCAAGTTCGAGAAGTCCAAGCTCGAGTATGAGGTGCCTTCGGGGTCGAGGGGAAGGTCGAAGGCTGAGTGGCTTGCGTAAGCGAGGGCATGGAACTATGAGTATGTAGTCGATGTTTTAACTACGAGCGCTTGAAATAATCAATAATTTGCACGACAATACCGGGATCCATTGATGTGATTGATTCTGAATGGCTGCCTGATGAAAACAAAAAACCCTCGTCATCTAAAACAGATCCTGGCCTCCAAGCGTCTCTCCCTCGTTCAACAGCATCTTCCTTGGGTCCTGCAAATCCACCCAGCCGAGAAACGGCTTACTGATATGATACCCAATCATCTGCTGAATGTCCGCCGGATACTCCTTTACTTTCTCAATTGGATTAGCAAGATACTGGTTCTCTTCCTATACAATCGTCAGCGACGCTACTAGAGACAGTCTCAAAAACATCCGTAAAACTCACCTGCCTCAAAAACCCCTTCGTCATAAAGCAGCTATAAACCAGGCGCTCCTCATCAACCGTTGTATTCGCCGAGCCGCCATGATAGCACGAGCTCAGCATAACAAACCCATCCCCCGGCTCCAGCTCCGCATACACGGCATCATTCTCGTTGGGCGGCGTGCCCGTGGCCTGCAGATGCGAGCGCGGCACGAAGCGCGTGGCGCCATTCGCGCGTGTAGTGCGCGTGCCCGCGACGAAGAACCCGATCCCGGTATCCCGGCCTATGGCGTACTGCTCAGCGCTGATGGCGGGCAGCGCGTTATGGTGGACCATGTCGTCGCGGTGGAGGTCCTGGGCGCGGGCGCCGGGGTTGATAGCGAAGACGATGGTGTTGTTGAGCTGGGGCCTGGAGAGCGAGACTTCTTTGCGGGCGCCGAACCAGCACTCATAGCGCGAGGTCAGCAGCTCGTCGCACACGGCGCGGTAGAGCGGGTTTCCTGGTATCAGGCGGATGAAGGCTGGGACTTTGCCTGCGAGGCCCATGACGCGTCGTGTTTGCGGGGGGAAGAAGTCGCCGTCCCAGGGCTGGTCGGCGGAGAGGAAGGGCCGGATTTGCGCTTCGAGGGAGGCGGTTTCGTCGGTGTTGAGGATGTTGCGGATTATGCAGCCGCCGTTGCGGATGAGCGATTGGACTACTTCGTCTTTGGTGACGGTAAGGGCGTCGAATTCGTCGAGGGGTTCGTTAGGGTCTAGGGAAGGCATTATGCTGCAATATGGAAATTTATGAGATGCTAAGTGCTAAGGGGAGATGGAAGAGAAAATGTGGATTGTTTGGTAGGTTAGAAAGGAGATTGTTCTTCAAGTATTCAGTGTTTAAATACTAAAGCAGACACTGCGAAATACTGACTGGTAGGGTTGCGCTAACCTGGAAAAGCAAAACAATGCAAACAAAGATAAGTGAGAAGCGATAGGTAGACAGCTTTTTCTTTATATAACCTTATCATGCCTTGTCGCTCTAATAGTGATTTTACCCCGCGCCTATCTTTGCTCGTTCCTGTACAATGTGAATGCGGGGTTAAAGACGGATAACGCAAGTGCGTGAGGAGTGCATAGAACTAGCTTTTTTGAGAAAGGATCTTTCATTTTACTCGTCGATATCGCTCCGCTAATTCGGTATCACGCGGGACCTCTCTACCAAGCCGGTATTTAAATATAAACTTGTTTATACTAACCTTGTAATCTACTTACACCTTCTGTTATTACTCGTGGTTATCTCCGTACTTTCTGTTCTTCGGATTATTTGTATATACTTAGCAATTTCTAAGTTCTTAATTGTTGTAGTCCAGACAGATGTCATGACGAAGCTCCGGGTCGCAACTAGGTGGGATGTAAAGTAGATGAAGAGCAGCAAAAACGTCTATGTATTACGAAAGAGTGAGATATAGCTTTAGGGTACGATATGCGAGACGAGTAAACTTCTTCTATAAGATACGTTTTATAGCGCACTTGTAATCTTATCGAGGCAGTGTAGAAATCTCACGTCAGATTCTCCATTATATAATTTCCACATTATAACTTAAGTGGATCTACCGGCTTTTAAGGCAGGCGCCTAAATAATAATGCGAGAGGTATACATTACTTATAGTACTTAAAAGAGTAACTACTACACACTATTTTGCTGAATATGCGCTATTTAGTTAGCATATACATTAACAAAATAGATAGAAGCCCTTGTAAGGCGAAGGTAATCTTATCATTTTGTTGTAATCGGTGTTGATCTTCCATGTCATAGTAAGCAGTAGCGCATAAAGGACATAGCGGGGATAGAGGGCGTAACGGAGGTATAGGGATTTAATGTAGGGTTGAGGAGTTAACCATCGGATTTACGAAATAGAGCGTGGGGGCTACGGAATGTCCCGTAAGCGACGAATCAGAAGACGTGAGGCTAGCCGCATATTCGCAACATGATTTGCGGAAAGTTTGGCGTTCCCGCATGTACATCGTACCTTCTCCATGCCAACACGGGTATAAAATCCTCAGTCCGCTCCTCTTCTCCACGTTCAGCACTGCAACAATGTCGGCTTCCAACACTATTTACCTTATCACTGGCGCGACCAGAGGTTTGGGAAACCATACTCAATGCTTTTTTGTACTTCAACTAATTTTCTTCTAATAGGAATTGGCCGTGGCCTTGTCGAGACCTATCTGGCCCGGCCATCAACCACTGTCGTCGCTGCCGTCCGTAATCCCGCGGACTCCAGTGCTCAGTCCTTGACCCAGCTACCGGCTGGTAGCTCCAGCAAGCTCATTGTCGTCCGAATTGACAGCCTCGACGAAGGTAGCGCTGCTACCGCTGTGGAGCAGCTGGCCAACGAGCACTCGATCACTTACCTTGACGTTGTCATTGCCAATGCCGGCGTTGGCACTGGAATGCCAAAGGTTGCCGATGTGAAGATCAGCGACATTGATCTTCATGTCAGAGTTAACGGTTACGGCCCCGTAATCCTCTTCCAGGCCACTCTTCCCGCCTTGAACAAGGCTACAGCTCCTAAGTTTATCATCATCAGCTCTTCAGGCGGTACCATTGCTGGGATGGAAGACATTTGCGTTCCTCACGCTTCGTACGGACCTTCTAAGGCTTTGGTTAACTATCTCGGCCGCAAGATGCACTTCGAGCACGAAAACATCACCACGTTTTCTATTCATCCTGGGTACGTCTGCTCTGCTCCGAACGACTGCAGATTATTAACACCCTGCTCTTCTATTTAGCTGGGTCAAGACCGAAATGGGAGAGTTTGCCGCTAAGCTTTGTGGTATGGACGGGGCCAAGATAACGCTGGAAGAAAGCGTCAATGGCATAGCCAGTGTGGTACGTACACGGCATTTTTAGACGTTTACATTGTTAACGAGCTCCTGTGCAGGTCGATAACGCCACGAGAGAAACCACCTCAGGCCGCTTTTTCCAGTGGAATGGTGACACTCTGCCATGGTAGAGGTTGTAAAGGGGAGATCTCGTAAGATAGATGGGTAAGAATACAATACTCAAAATAGCACGTTCGAATACGACTCGCAAATGAAAGTATTCCATGTTGTTTTAATATCCTATCCTCTAATTCTATGAGTGTATGACAAGTCATTTATGTTTCTAATCTTTCTTCCGCTGAATGGGTAACATTTGCTCCTTCTCCGGGTTTGTCTTCAGCTTTTCCCCCGTTCCTCTCAATGCAACATGATAAGGACATGCACCAGGCCAATCGCAAAGGTGTTTTGCAACGAATTACGGCTTAAATTAATCGGGCGTACAGTCCGTTCTTCCTTCTACATTATAAATAGCCACCATCTTCCACCAAAACGCCTCAACCGGGTCGGGCAACAAGCTTTCGCCAATCCACATGTTTGCCACAGTTTGGGAAATGATAATTACGAGCAAATGAGCTTGATCGACAGTAGCTTGAAAATATGAAGTGATATTCTTCGGGAATAAGTGTTGGAGTATTGCGGGGACATAGTGCGGGGATAGATTTACAGAGTTACACACTACGGCGGGGAGTAAGAGTACGGGAACAAGGAATTCCGTGGCCTCTAATGTTTCTCCTACAGTTTCCCACGGTCTTTCGCTTTCTTTATCCCGAGCAGGAATCAACTAAAACCGCGCTCCCTCCACCCACATACGGTTGGTCAACTGTCCTGCTACTCCACAATACGCAGTAAGAATTGCGCCACGAAGTAGCCACACAGCCAGTCATTGTACTGCACCAGTCAATACAATCCTCCAATGAGTTCTTGTACGCAGCAGTAATAGAATCCTTGTATCCCTCGTTGCATACAACATTGAAGCGCTTGCCATTGGTCTCATAGAATGCACCATGGTTAAGCGGACACGCCACGTGCTCCAGCGGGGCAGGGCAGTCGTCGCCTGCCGTAACGCCAGTCACCGTCTCAGTAGGCGAGAAAGATATGTCGTCCAACCAGAAAGTATCTTTCCCATCAATGCCGGTGTAACTGTTATCGGTAGAAAAGCAGCTGATCCCAAGCTGGATGGAATCTGCAGCCTGTGTCACCGTAAAGGGCAGTCCGACAAACTGCATCCAATCGGAGCCCGGGTTGGAACTGTCGTAGACGAGGCTGAGCATAATTGACATAAGGTCGGCTTGAACGCTGCAGTAGGTGCCGGCGGATCCAGCTTCGGTACGCTTGCTTGGCTGAGTCCGATATCAACCGCGGATTCCTGAACAGGGTAGTCGAGTTGAAGCGCTTGCGAGCCGCTGTGTACCGTGCTAGTAACAATAGAGTTCTGTTGTTGACCGTAAATGGACCACGAACTGACGCTGGAATCTTCGAAGCCACCATCGGAGAACAAGTTAACAGCAGCTGTAGTAGCAGAAGCAGGAGCCGCGCTGGTAGTGACTGGAACGGAAGCCTCAGTCGATGTTGCTGTTAGAGAAGCGGATGACAGGTCCTCAGTAGCAGTACTTGCGGCTGAAGAAGTAGACGCCTGGGTTTCCGTTGTCGCAGTGCTAGTCTCGCCTCCCACAATTGTAATCGCCACATCATCCAGAAGGTAGTACCTCGTTGACGGTCCAATACTTATGGTGAGTTCTCGGCATTGCACCCCAACAGTCAGAGTATCCTGCCCGCTCACAGCCGTAAATGGTGTCGACGTCAGCTGCTGCCAGTCTTGGCCTTCAACTCCGGGTATTCCAATAATGAAATTGCTGACGCTCGGTAGTTTAACCACTACTGCGCACTGAATGTCCGTGTCGGGCGCCTTGATCTACATGCTGAAGATGTATTGCGCGTTAGGAGTCAGGTTAACATCCAGACTGCTGTACGTGTCTGTTGGGGACGACGAAGACACATCATAGTCAATTTCAACGGAGTATGTCCCACTGTGAACATCGGATGTTTCAGCTTGTCCGTTACAGTTGTCGAAGTCCCAAGGAGCGAGCGAAATGTCCTCAAAATCACCGTTTCTAACAATACTGGCGGCAGCAGTGGCGGAGGGGGAAGCGGCCGTAGAGGTAATAGGGTCATCTGAGACAGATGTCGGAGCTTCAGTCGATGTGGCAGTAATGGTATCAGAAATGTCGCTCGAGGTTGTGGGGATAGAAGAGGAAGCTTCAGTTGTGATAGGTGTGCCAGAGGAAGATCCAGATGATGGAGCATCAGTTACGGACACAGGCGTAAAGAGCGAGCTCTCAGTAGTGGAAGTCTCAGTCGAAGCAGCCGTCTCGACAGTAGAAGTCCCAATTGTGGTGGCGGAAAAGTCCTCGGTGGTAGCAGCCTCAGCGGGTGAAGTCATTGTCGAGGTAGCGGGCGCGGAAGTAGAGATGTCGGTTGAGGTAACCTCAGCAGTTGAAGATTCCATCGAGGCAGAAGTCGAAACTTCAGTGGAAACGGTCTCAATTGTGGAAACCTCAGTTGAGATGACAGAAGAGGAAGATACTAGGGTAGTAGTTTCGGTCGCAGTAGTTTCAGTCTCCGAAGCGGATGCGTCTGAAGTACCAGTTTCAGCCTCAGTCGAAGAAGATGACTGAACGGAGCTGGCAATCATAGAAGAAGCCAGAGTGGCTGTCGTCATCGACTGTACACTAATAACAGTGGTAGTGGAAGCAGGGATCACAACGGTACTGATAACAGAAGTAGAACCCTGCGGAACGACTGTGAGAAACGTGGTCGCAGGGATAGTACTGGTCGAAAGAATGGCAGAGCTGGAAGTGGTAGCCAATGTGGATTCACCGGAGCCCTCAAGAGTGCTGACTACCGTGGTAGACGGCAGTATGATTGTAGTAAGGGAGCTAGGGCCAGGGGTAGTAGCTGCAGAGCCCGAGATGAGAGTTGAGTCTGGAACTACAACTGTACTAACAACCGTAGTAGACGGCAGTGAAATAGTCGTCAAGGAGGAAGAGCCGGACAGGAGAGTAGGTGTGCTCGAAACTGTAACAACCTCCTCTGTGCGAGTGATTGTGATAGTGGAAGCAGAAACCTCAACAGCACTGACAGTGATAGTATGAGGCAAAATTACCGTGATGAACGATGTAGAGGCCGGGACTGTCATCACTACCGTTTGGCCCGGTACCGTTACAATACTTTGCTCGTTTGCTCGTTTGCTGTTATCGTGACCGTTCTTGGCTCCCCAGTTACTGTAATGACCCTTGGAGGACCAGAAACAGTAACAACAGATGGAGCGACCACGATAGCGTAGTTGTTGTGCTGGAGCCAATAGTTATAGTTGTCAGGACCGTCGTGCCAGGAACGCTGATCACGGAAGGAGAGCCGTAGACAGTAACGACAGACGGTGCGGCTGCAGGGAGCGTTATAACAGATTGAACAGCGGAGGCAGCGGAATTGACATTCTGTGCAGCAGGAGCAGCGGCGCCAGAACTAAAGCTAGCGACGGCGGAGGCCGAAATGATGACAGCGGTAGGTGCTTCCGTGGAAGAGGCAGATCCATGCGATGCAGCAACGCCAGAGCCGGAGCTACCGACAGTAGAGCCAGGAGAACCAGCAACGACAGATCCTGGCGCAGATGCTGGTCCCGAGGGAGAAACAGCAATGCCAGTAGAGCCACCCTGAGCTGCAGCCAAGGTGACCGTAATTGTCTGAGTCACAGGCGGGAAGGCCTCAGCGGGAACAGCAACAACACTCGGTTTACCCGTCACGGTTAGAGTAAGCGTCTGAGACGCGAGCTGGCCGCCACCCTGGATAAGAGAGAGGGATTGGGCGAGAGACTGAGCCGGAAGAGTGACAACGACAGGTGCGGCGGAAAGAGTCAGTGTCTGCGTCGCCGGAAGGAGATGAATCGTGGAGATTGATGTAGTTGTGAACGTAGAGGTGATTGTTGACGTGCCTGTTGGGCACCTTTAGCATGTGGTAAGTGATCGGAGTCGAAATTTACCTACGGACGTCCGTCACAGTGATTTTTTGCGGCTCGAGTGTAGCAGTGCCTACATCCGCGCTCTGAGTGACAGTAATTGTCTCAGCACTCGGACACACCAGCGTTCCTGTACTCCGCTTGCCAAAGCTAGGAAATGCAGACGCCGCGGCGGCGTACATGCCCATCGCCGCGAAGAGCGACGAATTCATGGTAATTATTAGATTAGGAAGGAATGAACAAAGTTGGTCGTAAGGTGCATAAGATTGCACCGCGCAATGCGGGAAAAGAGCGACAGCAAGCGACGGGCGGCAAACAATAGCAGCAATGAGAAAAATAATTTGAGGTGTTCAGGAGTGAATATATATTGTGTAGGCCCCCCATTGAAGTTCAGCTGCAAGATAGGAGCGCTCGCGCTACTGTCTGTGACGCTTTCTCGTGGCGTGTGGCGTAGTGGTTCTCAGCTGATATTTGTGTTCCAGCTAGCTGGAGGACAACTGTAGCATGTTTTTCGTCGTGGAAAGTTTAGCAATCCAGCGAAAACCCGTATACCTAAAACTGAGTTCTACGACCGTACTGTTGACGAATAATATCCAAGTTAGTATACTACATACTGTCGTAAGGAAGGAGGCTAAAAACAATGACCGATCTAGTTTAGTGGCGCGGGCTGAGGCGCACATACACAGTGTCAGCGGTAGAGATAAATGCTTAGTAGCGGTTGCAGCTGGACCGGTCTAGCCATTTGTCTCCTATCACCATAACGCTTTATCATCAATTTCATTTCCTCATTTCCGCCATCAGCGTTTCCACAACAAGTTGTGAAAACCTCCAAGGCACGCCCAAGCCAACATCACTCATAACTCATTGTGTTCCGAGCCCTTGCCCTTGCCCTTGCCCTTGCCCTCCCCAGCCTCAGCTCCAACCTACACAGCGTTAGCACTCGCATCCACGCATAACCAGGCGCACAACTCACATTCGAGATCTTGAACCCGCCAGGGACCAGTGTCTGGAACACCTGCTCGGGGTCATACTTGTTCGCGACGTCCCTAATCTTCTTCAAGTTCGCCTCGCCGTAGCTCTCGAGCGGCTTCTGCGTCTTGTACGCATAGTCGAGGTAGATGAAGGGGTTGTCCTTCTTGATGCTCTTGGCAAACGCATCCACGTCCGCAATCAGCTTCTCCGCGGCGGTCTGGAAGACGGCGTCGTTGGCGACGTCCTTCCAGCCGAGGTAGACCTGGTACACTGCGAGTTCTGATGTCAGCATTTCGTCGCCTCACACGACTCTAGCACGCTCGCGAGGACGCACCAACGTTATCGCCCTTGAAGCGATCAAGGCCCAGCACATTCCCGCCCTTCTCGAGCCCGCGGTCCGCGAAGACGCGCGGAAGCGGCTGGAACAAATTCAGCGCGAGCCAGTCCTCGCCGTCGGCCTTGATGGCGTCGAGCATGGCGTCGAAGAGGGCCGCAGCCTTCTGCAGCACGCGCTCGTCGTTCTGGAACGAGATCGTCACAAACGTGTCGCGGTAGCCCTCGGCCTGCTCCAGCTCCGTCGTCAGGTCCGTGATGTTCGTCACCCGCATCGTGTTCATGATCTCGCCCTCGGTTGCCAGGAACTCCGTGAAGATGGGCGCCGCGGCTACGCCGCCCGTGTGCTCGTACGCGTTGATGATCATCTTCTCCCCGGCCGGCGTGCGGTGAAGGATCACGATGGCGGAGCCGTACGGGTCCTTCTTCAGACCCGTGGTGAAGCCCGACAGCGCCTTCATTTGCTGCTTGCTCGTGCTCCAAGGGTACACGACGACGCCGCCCCAAAGCTTCTCGGCAGGGAAAGTGAACATGTCGAAGCGAGTCACGACGCCGAAGTTGTTAGAGCCGCCCTTGAGCGCCTGGAAGAGATCCGCATTCTCCTTGGCGTTGGCGTTGACGACCTCGCCAGAACCAAGCACGACTTCGAAGTTGGCGACGTTGTCGCACACGAAGCCCTTGCGAGCAGCCCAGAACGAGTTGCCGCCGCCGAGCGTGAAGCCGCCCACACCGACCGAGCCGGCACGACCGCCCGCCACGGACACGTTCAGCTTGTCCAAGGTGCCGTACACGGAGGCCCAGCGGGCACCCGGGCGAATCGCGGCAGTGGCATTCCCAGGATGGTAGGTGGTCGAGTTCATCAAGCCGAGGTCAATCGTCACGCCATCCTCGATACTGGCCGCACCAGGCCAAGTGGTATGGCCGCCGCTGCGGATGGCGAACTTGCACTTGGCGTTGGCAAACGTCTGCACGACCTTGGACACTTCAGCCGTGTCGAGGGGTTGGAATAAACACTGCGGCCTGACTCGCGCCGCGACCGACCAGTACGAAGAAATTCGGTCCTCGTAAACGTCATGGCCTGGGTAATGTATCCGTTTCTCGAAACCAGCCCCAGCGAGGGCGGTGCACTGCACTTGTCAGCTGAAACATCCTATTTACGGGGTGCGGGTGCGGCTCGCATACGCATGACGAAACTGTGCCCGCTGCTGAAGCCGAGTCAATGCATCCCAGCACCGACCCAAGCGCAGTGACGGCTGCTATATCGAACCTCATTTTGACAGTAAGGAAAGACTGGTCAGGGTCTGGCGGTGACAATGCAATGGCTTAAGAAAGATCCAGTAAGAGTCGCACGGGCTCGGCCCTAACCTCGAGTCATCCCTGTAAAAGGCTCGCTTGTTTCAGGGGCGCGCCAACAGAGAAGTCCCCACCCCACCTCTCCGGATTAGGACTTCGGTTGTGACACAATGGCATCCCTGCGGAGACAAGGGCCTTGAAACGCACTCCAGGAAAATCACCGACAGGGGACAATAGGAGCCCTAAGGCTGACGAGACTTCCAGAAGGCCGTTTGAGCGTGAGTGAAGTGGGATAAAGGCTGCCAGGTTTCCGTGTTCGGCATCCGCCTCTTTATATTAGATCAATCTACAATGGGCGTGTCGCTTGCCCCGTCGCTCCAGCATTTCTTCTGCCCTATTTGTCCGTCGACCGTAATGTCTGCAGATCCCAACTCGATGTTGTCATAGGCACCGCCTTTCATGTGCATTTTGTGCAGGGGTCGTGACCTCCTGCTTCCGATGGTGTGGAGGGTGGGATACTGAGGGGGTGGGGTTGCTTCCTCGCTGTTGCTCAAGTGTCGGCCGGCGACATGGCGGATAAATCGCTGCGCAACGGGCAGACAGCCGCATATTACGACGAGATTAGCCTCGACGACACTGCAAAGTTGGTGTTAGCTCGGCTATGGGTTGCGATATCGGTGTCCAAGTTTCAATAGTACTCACATCCAGACGCACGGTATTGACACTGCCCAGGTTTGGTCCAAATCTGTGAACATTGGCAGGATCACGACAAGTCGTATGATACTCGTTACGCACGTCCTGTTGCCGGTCAGCGCCAATCTGTAAATCAGGGAAAGGGTTCGTACATTGAGCCGACTGCGAAGATGCAGATAACTCCGACCCTTTGGAGAGACGACATCTGCAGTGCAGCCACCACAGGGATCGGGAGCGTCAGAATGGTGATATCCGTGATAATGTTGAGAGCGGCCGTGGCAATGTAGATGGCTGTCTTGTTGCCACAATTTCCGATAACATTGACGTCCCAGTTGCTCTCGACGGGATGGCATGGGAAGATGAGGGAGAAAATAATACCCAGCGTGTACCCCACGACGATGAACATGACGATGTGAATGGCCCATCGAAACCATGTTATCGGGTCACCCAGCCGGCGATAAAACAGAAGCAGAGAGAATTTGGCGGAGCCGAGGCACGCCGCATATAGCACTGAAGCGCACATGATGAGCTGGGGAAGTCAGAATCCAACTGCATAAAATAGAGCAATGATAGCAAAACAAACCCACCAGGTTGTATAGGTTGTATCTGTCTGCCGGAATTTCCCAGGCGTGCACGCCCATGATCCGATTTATCCACATATCTGCGAGGCAATCAATCAGTACATCAAACCGCAGAAGTCAACAGGCAAACTTACGTAGCAACAACCCTTGACATGCAAGGCCAAATATCTGTGGCTATTGTCAGAGAAGATGCGATCTAACAAAAGCAGGCTCCTCATACCCATGATAGAATCATACAAACTGATTATAGTTAGCAGTGAACTCGAGTTTCAGCCGGTCTGGAGCGCACCATCTTCAACCGCGAACTTCCTGCCCATGCCAAACTTGACATATAGTCTCATGCTCAGCATCAAGAGGGCAATGATGGCGCCAATAATAAAAACGATATAGCCCGTCTCATCGCCCTTGCGCTGGGGGTGGTCGAAGTCGACAACATAGCCGGGCGGGGTCTCCAGGGCAACACGGATGGTGCTGGTAGGGCCGCCTGGGTGGGTAGTGGTGTACGTATAGCCAGCCATACGATGGAGAAAAAAACAGAGGCAACGGGGCAGGTGGACAGCCCGGCGAGAGAAAGTAGGTCGACGCGGTCGCAAAACAGGCTGTTGGGTGCAGTGGCTCCCCGCTTATAGGCGAGATGAGCGACATGTTGGTGCGACTCGTGTCGCAGCGTGCTGGAGATCCTAGCGGAAAGGGATTTTGGTCAAGCAGAAACACTGGGTCCTGCTGGACATGTCGGAGTACGGTGTTGATCATTGCGCGGGCGTAAGAGCTGGGATAAGGCTGTAGCAGCAGCAGGATTCAAGCCACCCACGGTGAGGCCCTCCACCGCAACGGTCGACCATGGTGGTGTCAGTGGGGCGCCGCATCTCCAGCGTGAAATCCCCCGACCGCCCGCTTGCCCGCCTCACAGTGATTGCTCGTTGCAGTCGATCAGCCGATGCTGGGCGATCTCTGGATGGGGGGAAGCGGGCCAAATTTGTGGACGGTTTGCTCGCTGGTGTGCTGCAGCTTCACCGGAGCTCGGCTGCACGATTCAGCGACCTGGCACCATGCCGCTTCAGGCTGCCTACCCTACCAAGCCTACGTGCGTTACATACCGAGGCTTGTCTGTCTTCCCGAGCATCGTCCCAATTCCCGCGCCTAGCCGCGTCAACGGCGTAAGGCGTCTCTTGGTCCCTCAAGTCGGTGAGCTGCCACCCCACCCTGGCCGCGTCTGTTAAGGGCACCTACCTACAAGTATCATCAACGATTTTGACTTGCCAGCATTCACACTCAGCCTTGGTGCCTACCACGTACATGGTACAGCTCCACTCACGTGATGAAACACCCACCGGCCTCTCCAGGCGGATGTTTCGAACGCTTCCCCCCGAGCGGACCATCTTCACCAATCTGCATTGCCTCTAACGGCCCGCTGCCGCTGCCGCTAGCCGTGTCGTCTCCGCAACACTAATCCAAAGGCATCCCCTGATCCGTCCGCGTAGATCCAATTGCTTAAACTTCCACGCTGCCAGCTGCCAGCACGCACTCCATCTCACCTACTTTGTCGTCCCATCGCCCTACAGCGTCACCTGGAAGCTCTCGCCTTCCTGTGTCTGCAGTGTGTCCGCGTAGTCTGTCCCATTCACTTCGAAAGTCGCCTCGTTCCCCACTTTCAATGTCAAGGGCCTCCCGAGCTTGGAAACAACCGTCGCATCCTTCAATCTGCCTGCCTCCCAAGCGATGTCTACAACGAAGCCCCCTCGGGCCACAAGCCCCTTCACGGTGCCATTGGCGATGGCGACCTCAGGCGACGGCAGCGCAGGCAGAAGATGCACTTCAGAGTTGTGGCTCTGAAGCAACATTTCCGCGATGCCGGCAGTGAAGCCAAAGTTGCCGTCGCACTGATACGTTGGGTAAGGGTTATTGCCAAACAAGTTGTCGTTCGTCGAAACGTTCAAGAACATCTGGGCATTTTCCCAGGCCGCGTCGCCCTGCCATAGTCTCGCAAACCAGTTTATCGTCCAGGCGCGCGACCAACCCGTACCTGCGCCTCCGTTGGAGAGGCGCCTGTTCAGAGTAGCGTTGGCGGCAGTAGCGAGTTCGGGTGTCTCAGCCATACTGATGCTGCGTCCAGGATGAAGGCCGAAAAGATGCGACACGTGTCGATGCCCTGGAGCTTTCTCTTCGTAGTCTAGGCGCCATTCCATGATCGTACCCAGGGTCGGGCTGATCTGAGGTCGCTTTATCTTAGCCAAGTACTGAGAAGCTTTCAGTATAGCTGGATCCGTCTCGGAGAGCTCAAGCTCCTGCGCAGCCTCCACAATGGCAGAGAAGAGCTCGAAGAGCAGCTCATTGTCCATAGTTGGGGCAATGTCAATCGACTCGGTGTTGGGGTATTCCGACTGGTTTGGCATCAGTTTGAAGCTATTCTCTGGAGAAATCGAGGGCCCTGTCGAATAGTAGCCTTTGTAATCGAAAAGGTAACAGTAGTAAAACTCGGCAACCTCATTGAGAATAGGCAATGCCGTTGACTCGAGCCATTCCTTGTCGCCGTTGAAGCGATAGTGTTCCATGAGGTGCAAAGAGAGCCAGGAAGCTCCCATGGGCCACATGGACCACTGCGTTCCGTTTTCTGTCGGAACGCCATCGCCCCACACGTCAGTATTGTGGTGAATCATGAAACCGGAGCAGTTGTACATCCTCTTCGCGACGTCTCTCCCATGGGAACGCGTGATTTCGATGAGGTCGAAAAGCGGCAGGTGCGTCTCTGCCAAGTTTGTAATTTCAGCAGGCCAATAATTCATCTCAACATTGATGTTGGTGGTATCTGTCGGTAGCGTTAGCATCGGTTAGCGGTCACCAAAAACACTAAACATAAAATCAAATACATTTGCCTCCCCACGGTGGATTGTAGCTCGGACTCCAAACACCTTGCAAGTTTGCAGGCAAGTTGGTAATGCCATCTTCACTTCGCGATGAGGTGATGAGCATATAGCGTCCAAGGTTGAAGAGCAGCGTGGCAAGCTCGGGATCACCGTTCATTGTCACGTTGCGATACCGGTGAAGACGATCGAGTGTAGGAAGCTTGCCGACATCTCCAGAAGATCCAAAGTCAAGAGACGTCCGGTCTGAGAGAGAGGTGAAGTCGTCGAGAGCATCTTTTTTTATGGTTTCGAATGGGACATCAGCTGTTGCTGTAAGCTTTCGATCAAGTTCCGCTTCCCACTCTTCCTCGGTTGAGTAACGATAGGAAGTCTCTGCATCCACGAAGATCGTAATGGCGTCTGCATTACGAATCTCCACGGAAGTACCGTTGGTGGACAGATTGGCTTGAGTCAGAGTCAGCAGGATGTTCTCTGATTCGGCGGGTTGTTGTTGTACGTACCTTGTTGCCCAGCAATGTTTATCCGGGCTTTTGCGGTAAAGTTGATGCCGTCCTGCTGGCCACTGCCTGCTCGGAGAGTGATGTAGCTGTCAGGTAAACTCAAATTCGCCCCATGGAAAGACACATTGAATTCTCGAAACAAAGTTATGTTGGTGGTGACGGACTGCTCCTTGTCGGCTTCAAAGCGCAAGACCAAAACACTGGCGGGAAAAGACCCAAACGATGTGCGTCTCGACGTTTGTTAGCTTGAGGGTGTTAATTTGTCATGGCAATTCACTCACGTATATTGCACGCCATTGTGGCTGTACTGGCTTCCCACATAGCCACCACGAGTGTCTAGCCAGCGCGAATAATTACTTAGCTGATCCTCAGGATGGCCGAAGTCGGCAAATAGCTCGGCCATGGGGTGATAGGCTCTAGGGCTGGTTGGGTTCCCCGTCATGTCCCTTAGCACGGCGCTACCAGCCGCAGTCAAGCTTTCGTTCCGCAGCAAACCCCTGATGGTGGGAAAGCTTGTCGCTGCGCGCGGATTTAGCCTGTCCTGGAAACCGCCATTCCAGATGGAATCCTCGTTCATTTGCACGCGCTCTGATAGGGTACCGCCGTAGACCATTCCGCCGAGGCGGCCGGTGCCAATGGGCAGGGCGAGATTCCATTCGGGTGCGGGCGCCGTGTACCAGATAGTAGTTGATCCTATGGACGGGGTTGCGGACGATAACAATTCGGCGGCAGCCGAGAGTGCGGCCAGACCGAGAAAGATCGGCAAGATCATGTTGGCGGGCTGTCAGTGCTGTGAGACAACGCCAAAAAGAAAACATGCTTATTATAAAGAGAAGCCTCCCCGCATTTTGCGGCTAACTGCGGAACTGCATGTTGATGAGATGCGGGGTCGATCGACAGGAACGCGTCTGCACAAGCAGAAGCAATTAACAAAGGTCAAAGGTGAAGTTGATGATTCCACCAATCACCGGAGAATTGTTTGAAAGGTAGTCGAGTGGCGGTGCGACACCAATCAAGGGGCTTTGCGCCGCCGGTCAAATGGCGAGTCAAACGGCGAGTCTCGCCCCCGGCCTCTTGGCCCCACAACGGCGGGCAAATTTAGAAGCTGAAGAGTGATGGCTGTTGTACCTTGATGCGGCTCCGCGATGACATATCCTTGAAAGGCGTACGTATGCTGCCGCCTGCGAGGGTCCACTCATGACCACTCACAACCGGTTGCGCCCCCAACGGCCATGATGAGCTGTTAAGAGAGCGTCTATCTTATTTGTATTCGAGCGTCGATGAGCGTCATTTCGCACGTGGCGTCGGGGCGTTGATGGAGGGTTTTTCACTCTGGTTCGGGGTCCGCGGGTTACCTAAAATTCCTACGGGCGCAACACCTTGAAAAAAAGCCGCAGTGCGCCAACGTTCCCACAAACGCCCCCCCGCAGCCCTCCCGGCGCGGCAAAAGCTTGTCAGTCGGCCATGTCGCGTGCGTGCGAATTAAAGAAAGCGTCGGCGAAAAGGCTGGCGTGCCTGAAAGGATCGTCTCGTATTGCAATTGACGCACGGCTCACGCGCGCAATGGCCTCGACGGCAGCTGCGCCCTGCGCCCTGGGGCCTTTCAGAGTGCCAGGGGGATGATGATATATCTAAACTCCCCAGTTCGAGCCTGTTGAGAGTCGTCGTGTTCGCGCGTCCTGTCTCAGCATGGCCTCCAACGTCATCTGGCCGCTGTCCATGCTGGCCCGGACCAAGAACCAGTACTCTCTCTTCATCGTCTCGTCCTTTGCCAGCAAGCTGCTTCACCTCTACACCCACCGCGCCTCTCTGCCCATTCTGCTTACTCTTCTGTACACGCCGACTTTCCTTCTGCCCGATGCCCTCCTCATCACCTTCGGAAGGCTCCTCGTCTATCGACAAAACTACCGCCGCTTCACTGCGCCCGCAAGGCTGCTGGGGGCCTTCTTGGCGTCAGTCTTGGCCTTTTGCTGATGACTTCATTTCCGCTCTGCTGACTATCTGAAAAGCTTTCTCACTGCTACCACATCTGCCGCGCAGATCACCTTCTATCTCGAGACTGGCGGCGAAGTTCAATGGATGGCTGCCGGCAGCCTTGCTCTGGACCCGGCCGGCCTGGGTCTGATCCTCTCGGGATTGCCCACGTTCTCTATTACGCTACTTCTTCTCACGGGCCTTGCCTGGCTTTCATCGCCTTACCTCTATGACAGTGTAGATGCTCTCTTTGCGAGGATCGCAGCTTCCTTCAAGAAAGTGTACAGCATTTACAATAAGAAAAAGGACTTACCTAAATCCGAGGAAGAGAATTTCCTCATCGAAGTGTTAGCATGCTCTATACCCTCCCCAAACCTTTGAAATCAAACAAAAGCTGACCTTTCAACTTTACAGGGAGAGTCAGCAGCAGCAAGTCCCTTTGACAACACTCAAAGCAGTCTTAACATGCTGTGCCGTCATTGCTGCTGTGTGCACTACAGGTGTGCTGCAGACCGTCCGGCCCCATGGCCCTCCGTATGCGCACATGTCGGGATCTCTTCCTATCACGCTGGTTGCCTCTATGCTCTACAACCCGGTCAACTCGGAATTCTGTTTGCCTTTGCCCATAGGCCCAGTGTTTTTCCCTGTCATGGATCTTCAAAAGCTTGAACCGGACGTCGAATGGGGCCCCCCGTCAGAGGAATGTCATCGTCCGCACCACTCTGGTAGTGTCTTGGCCGGAGGCATTACCAACCAATCCCTGTCTACCGAGGCGCAGCCGCATCCGGGAAGCACCTGGTCCTACAACCCGAAGTGTGACCCCTTGAAGGTGTCCAATCTCGACGACGAGCTGCTGGAGAGTGTCGAGACCGCCGTCAGGAAGCAAAAACCGATCATCAAGAACGTCATGCTCATCAGTCTCGAAAGCACGCGCAAGGACTTGTTTCCGATGAAGAAGGACAGCGAACTGTACAAGAAGATTCTGGGGACTTACGACGAGATGTCTTTGATTACCGCTCGGGATGAACTGGACGCAAAGCTTGCCGCGCTGACGCCAAATGCCGAGTTTCTGACTGGGGAGTCGTCCGGGTTTGGAAATGGGAGCGGTTTGGATGCTGGTTCAGCGTCCTGGAGAGATGCGTACAAGGGCAGTGGCGCAGGCGGCATTAACGTGCAGAACGCCATCACCGGCAGTGCTTTTACGCTTAAAAGTCTTCTCACCAGCATTTGCGGTGTTGACCCCCTTCCCGTGGACTTTACCGAGGAGACCAAATGCTCCATCTACCAACCGTGCCTACCGCAGGTTTTGGACCTTTTCAATAAGGCGATCGAGGAGAAAAACAAGACGGCACCAGGCGAGCCAGAATACCTCTCATGGCCGTGGGAATCGGCAATGGTGCAGGCCGTCACGGACAAATTCGACTCGCAGGACAAACTCCACGAACAAATGGGATTTGGACAGATGATCGTCAAGGACACGCTGGAAAACGCGTCGTCCAAGTTCTATCCGCCCAAAGAGCCCATGTCCAACTACTTTGGCTACCCTGAAACGGAGGTCTTGCCGTACATGCGCAACATGTTTGTCGAAGCCCGCCAACAGAACCGTCGGTTGTTCCTCTCGCACCTCACCAGCACGACGCATCATCCCTTTGCGCCGCCGAAGGGATGGGATGGACGGGAAGAGTACCTGAAGCCTAACAAAATCAAAGGCCACGATGCGTTTGACAACTACTTGAACACGGTCAAGTACCAGGATGAGTGGATCGGCAAGATCTTCAACATGCTCGAGGAGGTCGCTGCAATCAACGAGACTCTGGTAGTGCTCGTTGGCGACCAGTAAGTGCCCTCTATGCGTTTCTTGAGCTGAAGTAAAGCTAACACGAACAGCGGCATGGCCTTCACCACGCCCGACGGCACCAACTCCAATTTCGAAAACGGCTACGTCACCAACTTCGACATCCCGCTTGTATTCGCGCACCCGCACCTCCCCAGCGTGCAGCTCCCGGCCAAAGTCACGCCCACGTCCATCCTCCCCACCATCCTCGACCTGCTGCTGCAAACCGGCTCGATCGACCAGACCGCCGCGGGCGCAACGGCGCACCACCTCCTGCCAGGCTACCAAGGGCAGTCACTGATCCGGGAGCTCGGCTTCACGGGCTCCAAGCACGGCTCGTCATCAGCGTCCAAGAAGCAGCCGTGGCACTTCAGCATCATCAACCCGGGCGGCTCCGTCATGGCCGTCAGCTCGGGCGCGACGCCGTACCGGCTGATAATGCCGCTGTGCTCGACGCTGCCGCTGCGCTTCACGGACACGGCGACCGATCCGCTCGAGCACCGCCCCGTCGAGGCGTGGAACCCGCACGAGCTCGCTGACCGCGTGGCCCGTGTGCATGGGCGCAAGGGCGCCGAGTGGGCACTGCTGGCGTCGAGGCTGGGCCGCTGGTGGTACTGGGAGCAGAGGGAGCGGTGGGGCTACCACCGCGCGGCTAGGAGCACGGATCGCAGCGCCGAGGATAGCAATAACAGTGGTAAGTTGAGGAAGGACCACTGGTGGGAGACGTAGGCAAGAGGAGGACGTTTGCGAAATGATTGTCATGATACTTTTTGGCGTTGCGGGGTTGCATTTGTCGGCTTAGCTTGGCTCGATTTGCTTGGAATGGGTTCTTGCAGCTTGCGGCTTTTGGTTTTGAAGCGGAAGCCTCGTTGGGCGTTGGGAGATTCTCTCGGTATAAGAGCAAGGGCGTAGATATAGATCTTGTACTATTACTGTGGAATTTGTGTCTATAGGGGGTTCAGGGTTTGAGGCTTTAGCGGTCTTGGGTAGGTGTTAGTGTATATGGCCGAGACTAGATTTAGGCGCAAATTAGCGAAGACGGCTAGATGTTTGAGTAGATTATGCTTTTAATTGGCTTTTTGATTAGGTTAGTATAGCGGGATTAAGCTTAGATTACCGTGTGATGCGCTTTCTACTTTACTTAAGGTGGAGTATACAATGTTTGTATTACTGATAGTGGTTAATTAATCCTTATATTGCGATTAGATAAAACCTCGAACGTAGCAACGGCAGAACAGCGGAAGAGATTGCCGTGCCCTGTGGGGTTGATTATGGCGCGGAGATGTTTTCGACCCGGCAGTTGCTAAGAGGACGTACCGGTACAAGCTAAGTAACATCCCTTACCGGGAACCGAGATCCACCGTATGGCGAGACAGGGGACGATATAAGTAGTCCCTATAGAGTACTCCTTGCCTAGCTTCTACCCTGAATCCTGGGTATAGATGAAAAGATCTTAGAGTATATAAAGACGCTATATATTATAACTCGGTATCTTCTTCTACTCCGTATAAGTATTACTATCTCGCTTTATAGTAGATTTTAGTTTGCGGTAACGGACGTTACCGTGTGGTTAGAGGTTATTAAACCGGCAATCTATTATAATAAATACGCAAAAACCAATTAATGATTAGATGCAGCCAGTATAATGAGATCTGAGACTTCCTCTTCTACAAGGATTTCCTACGGCTCTGCAGCTGTTGGGTCATCCTATTTAAACCGTTAATTAGGATTTTACAATGCGAATCTTAGGCCTTTATTTTTCGGTTTGTTGAGAAGTATCGTGGTTACTAGAATCCAGATAACCTAAAGAAACAGAGAACAAACTTTTACCTGCTGCAAATTCGTCACTCATGGAGAAAATGGATGCGAAGATCGAAAAGGGCTTCTTCCATACTTTTTGCTAGAGGTAAATCTCCGCCCAGTCTCCAATGTTTGCTTCCATCTCTTTGAGTTTCTCACCTAGGAAACTCCAAAGTCGGTGTTTTTGTTCCACGTCAATCATAGCAGAAATGAAAAAACGAAATTGATAATAGAACTAAGTCATGGGAAACAACTTCTTCCCGATCTCAACAAAGGCTTTGCCAATTACGATAAGGTGGTGCCCTCCATAATAATAAGATATTTGACGTCCTTTGCACCAGTAAAGCAGAATCTGCCCCTTCTCTCCACGACCTCTTTTCCTGACTTATCGGTAACGTAGTTCGCTGATAGCAGAGTTGAAGCTTGAACTAAGGGGTATCGGATGACTCTTTCTCATGAACACAATAGTAGTGCACAAAGATTGCGACTCCGAAATAGCAAATTAAGGCAAAAAACAGATAACCAAAGAATAGGAGGGATATCTAGTAAGACAAAGTTAAGTGCGATATTCCATTTGCAGTAGTTGGAAAACTAACCTTGCTGTGGTCTCCCCATGGCTCCTTCCATAGGGGTTCAAGAACGTAGACACTGAGACCCACGACATAGGAGATGATTCCGTAGCTCAGAAGCATTACAGGAGTTTGTAAGACGTATAATCCGATGAACCGAGTTGTAGCTTTGTCTTTGGCAGTAGTTAATTCCACCACCCATTTTAACCAAACCCACCACCCCCTCACCACCGCCTGCCTAATCGGGTAATAACCCGGCAGAAAGTTGCCTTCGGCATAACCCGCCCGCGCCAGTCGCTCGCGCGACGCCGCGCGAGGACGCGCTGGCGGGGAACAGGAACTAGCACCCCTCATTTTATACCAAAATTTGGCCAAAAACTTCCATATCTCCAACCTCACTGTCACAGCGCGGCACGCGAAGAGGAGAGTTATTACATAATACAAACGTCGCTTTTTCGCGCCCGCGAGCGCTCCCGCGTCCTCCGCCGCCAGCTGCGCGCTCCTCCGCCTGCCCGCAGCCCGCTCTATCACGTGTTTAGTCACCGTAGCGAGCCTTCCTCGTGCCACGACCCTTACGTGCTGGCATCTCTCTGTTCACAGAGGGTGCCGCACTGCTGCTGAAGGCAGTATCTCTATCCTCCTCCATGGTGTTGCAGTCGTCCTCGTTGTCCTCGCTGCTGCTGCTAACGGTGATTGGCTCGTCCTGCTGCTGCAGCTGTTGCTTCTTAGCCCGTGGGCGTGCTGGGGCAGTTGTAGTACGCTTTCTCTTGCGTGTAACTGTTGTTGTAGTTGTCTCCTCCTCCTCGTGATGCTGCAACTGTTG